GGTTGCCCTGGCCCTGGAGCTCTACATCTCTGACGAGCAGTCACCAGCCACATCAACCTGATCAGTGTTTGATTGTTGTGTCTTGTTGCTTTTCTTCTTTTGTCTCTCCTCTATCCACTCACCCCAACCAGTCGAGGCAGAAGGCCACCCACCAAGAGCCGGGGTCTGTCGGAGGTTTCTTCCGTTAAAGGGAGTTTTTCCTCCCCACTGTCGCCAAGTGCTTGCTCAAGGGGGATTTGTTGGGTTTTCCCTATGTAATAATATTGATAACAGTAAGGTCTAGACCTTACTTTGTAAAGTGTCCTGAGATGACTTTTGTTGTGATTTGGCGCTATACAAATCAAATTTGATTTGATTTGATTTGAAACTCGCAAGTGTGTTCCCCATCTTCTGTACTTTATGTTTCAATAATAACCTTTTGTGTGTGTGTGTGTGTGTGTTTCTGTGTACTAAAAATATACTGTAAGATAATGTACATAATCCCACTGTACACATTCTCAAATAAAATTCTTCAAAATGTTGGTAACTGTTTAGCAGATGTCCTCCCCAAGTAATATAACGTCTGTTTGCCACAAAAGTGTACCTACTGACTCACTGCCTATAACCTTCAACAGCGCTGTGAGTGACATGACCTGTTTTTATTCTCTATCTGAAAAATAAAACAGACCAGAAGATTAAAGCCAAAACTTAACACAGCATCTATAGGAGCTTTCACCACATGCAATGCTAGTCATAGATTTAACTTCAAAGATTCGATATCTGATAAAATAAAAAGAAGAAAGTGAGTCAATGACTGTGTCCCCTTGGCCCTCTGTCCTTTTCTCCACACTACAGTCTGGGTGGGACCGTATCATCTGTCTTTTTATAAAGCATCTTTCATGCGGGCTGCCGCTGCAGACTGACAGAGGCAGGTCAGCGACCCAAGAGATAAGTGTTCACGGAGGCTTCAGTCTCTGAAACGAATGAGATGGATAATCATGGTTTGAAAACTTGTTTGAAACATCTTATACTTTGATTAGTTCCTAATTGCGGAGCTGAGGACTAATTATAAGAATTAATTTCAACCTTGTGGTTGGTCCCTATTATTCCGCATACTATGTGAACACTGAGGCTCCTCACAAAAGATGAGACAGATCTCAAAAATCCTATCATTTGGAATTGGAAGTGTCAAAGACAAAAGAATAGAAGAAGAAGAAAGATCCTTTTTCACAAGCACAACAGCAGCAGTCATAAAGTGATGAGCACTTGATGAGTCAGTTCTTTGTCACATATGCAAGTTATTTTGAGTGCATCTTGATCTATGCTGAGGAGTTTACAGTTACAGATTTTACTCTAGAATTTTTTTAGGTACTTACCTACCATGCTTATTCTTAAAGATAATTCATAGTGATCTAGTTGGTGAGCAGTCAGATTTCCTTTCTCTGAAACAGCTCAGCAAGATGTAACTGCTGCAGCAGCTGAACCTGCAACCTTCAGCTTATACAAGACCCTCTGACCACTCAGCCATAATGACACCTCTCTCCTTTCTGTCACACATACCTCACTGCATCACTGCACTCTGCTGACCTTTGACCAGTTTTAACCCACTGCAAGGTGATTCTCTGACATTTCTTGACAATAGTTACTCCCCTCACTGTCTCAGTTCAGGTAAATACCAGCTGGAGCAGAGCTCAGCTCAGAAGAACAGCTGTCTTGACGACCAATACCATTCTGTACAAAGCTCCCAGTATTCTCTGCATTTGTGTTTGTGCAAACTGTTTCTTCACAGCAGGCTAAGTAAAAGTGTGTCTGACCATTGTTGAGAGAACATTCACACCCTCTTTTTGGCTGTTATTTCAAAATAGATTTATTTGGGATTTTATTATCTGGGGTATATGCAAATGTGTTCAACACTCAGCATGCTAAAAACATGTGAAAAAATAATTTGGTCCTTGTTGTAACCAAACCCAGCATTTTTTGTAAAGCAATGGGAGATGCAGGGAAATAGGTGCAGGATCCAAACACAAGGCAGAAAATAAAAATTAGCTAATTTGGACATGTTCGGAATGAGAAACAAAATAAAATGAGCAACCTGAACTTATTTCTGTACACAAGATATGATAGTACACCACAATGACTATATAACATTTTTGTCTCAAGCTATTATATCTCTGATGTGAATTCTTGGTCTTTTAAATGATGGAAGAGGATCGCTCATTAGATACAGCGGTGTTGACATTTATTACAACCAGATATATGTTATAAAAGAAAACTGCATACTGGACTGTTAATCATCAGGTGGAAGAAATAGAACTCCAACAGAAACCTGTGTTCTGCATGTGTTAATATGCTATGGTATGCTAATAACAACTTGTTCACCACCACAGCTTTTTAAGTGTACATAATATTTGTTTATAGCATGTTATGCTGCCCCCAAGTGGCCAAAAAACTATCAATGAACGCAGGTTTGCGAGGCTACTTGTAGCCATGTGTGTTTAAACACACCCTCATTGCAGTGTTCAAAATATGACATCACTAAACATGAAGTTTAATGTCACTCTTCTTGTGCCTGTTCAGTCAGTGTAGCCTTCTGAAAACACGAGACCATTTTCTCATTTAAATATCCAAAAGAAGAACATTTTGCATTTCTTCTGACTCAGTGTACCAATTTAACTAATGCAAAATCTTGGAATTATATCATATATGTTCTTTACCTTTGAGAAGTCCAGCTTTACAGAAGTTACAAAGTATTAAAATATTCTGATGTGTCCGAGCGTGCACTGAAGCAGTAATGATGGGGTGACATCAAGGCTCAGAGTTTCTCATTTATCAATTTATTACTGCAGAGCTGATGTAAATGCAGCAAGAGTTATCTAGGCTGATGCTGCACCTTATCTTACACAAATCTGACATTGGATGAGCTAATCAATATTCATAAGTGATATTAATGGCATGTTGGTGCATGACATGAGAAATTAGATTGGAGCAAACAGACTGTGGCACAAACAAAAAGATGGTGGGAGATGTGAGAACCCCTCTGCATGTAAAACTGTACCCATCTGACACTAATAGCACAGTGTGAAAGTCAATTTCAAGGACAAAGGATGGAAGGACAGAGTGGGGCGATAAAGTAAAGTATGAGAAGATACAGAGAAAAGAAATGGGAAATGAGGAGAGAGATAGACAAGAGTGAGAAGGTGTAAAAAAGAAGGGTCTGGCTCATAACAAGAAACACAATAGATGCCAGGATATAAGACATACAGAAAAGGTGTAGGGGAAGGCATTTAGTGTGTTAAAAATCCGCTGGGTGTTGGGCTGTCACAAAATCCACAGGTTTAGAAGTCTTAACATCCTGACTGTGAAAAGACTCAACTAGCCATAATTAATAGATAACCAATCCATCCACTGATTGTCGTGTATTCAGACTAAAATTATCTTTAATCTTTCCCTCCATCTGTCACTGTACAGAAGAGACAAATCGGTTATCATAATCATATCACAACCTATTCTTTTTAACCCTCCAGCTCTTCTACTTTTTTGTCTTACCATGCCAGCCCATGGAGTAGGGGAATGAGACTTCAAACAGATTGTCATACTTGGTCAGCAGTCGCTTCATAATGTCAGCCAGACCTAACAAACAGAGAGAATGACAGAGATAAAGTGAAAAAACAATAAAATGGTGGGTAGGACGGAGAAAGGCGATTTGTGGAGCATTAATAATGAATGGCATGAGGAAGGGGAGCTGATGGGAGGACAATGAAAACTGAAAAAATAAGAATAGTGAGAGAGGAATATATAACAAGAAAAGGTGATAAAACTAAATAAAGTATAGAATAAACATGAAGTACATGCTGTAATTAGATAACCACACAAAAGTTTCTCTCTTACACTCAGACCATGGGCAAACAAAACATAAAAAGCAGGTTTTTCCTCCATTAAATCTTGTTGTTTAATAACACAACTCACATTAATTAGGCATTATAAATTGGGAACTATACTAGGCAATACAGTCATGAATTTAAAAAATACAATGAAATAAAGCAAAAAGCAACAAAAAAATCATAATAATTAGTCAATGTCATCGTTCAAGCCCATTCCATATACAATTCATACAATATTCAACAAAATAATTCTGTGCAATTTCCAGGCTTTATTGCTGAGCATATGAAGCAGGACACTTACACTATAATCATCAACAACACCAATGACAATCTGCATTTTAGTTAAGAATATAAGAATGTCAATTTTGTCAGGAGTGACTATACTGTAAAACATGTCCATGTCTACACTTGGCTTCGCGTGTGCTTATTTTTACTGGTAGATTACTTTACCAGAGATAAATAGTACAAAAAAAAGCTATAACAGTAAAGTGTTTCGATGTAAAGCTGCATTCAAACATCCAACATGGCACCTCACTATGCCATCTCTGTCATAAAAAGCACAGGGAACAGCTAAAAACCATGGGGATATCATCCAAGAACTAATGTCCTGGTGTATAATATACTATTTATCTGTTTGATCCGTTTCTTAATGGTGATTAATGAATTGCTAGCATCAACAAATAAACTTGTTGTTCCAAAGGGCTATGACAAACTACAGACAAAATAGCAACAGTTTAACTCAAACACATCTTTCCTGGCATCTCCTGGCTGCAGGAGATGTTATTTTTCTTATTCAGTCTCAAGCTGAGTCTCAGAGGAGACTTATCTGCTGATGCCTCTTATCTACAGAAGGTAGGCGCCTTGGGCGTCACACTGTCGTTGCGCACAAGCTCAATCAGCTACACAGATCCAGCTGTCAACAAGGCTTCGAAATGAGCCTTTAGTTAATTTATAAATGCAGTGGTGTTTGTCCTTAATGGAGAAGGTTCAGTCTCCCCAGAACAACTTCATTTGTTTTCGTGCACACCCTTTAATGGGCATACGGTTAGCTACAGAGGGTAGCTAACTAAGGGTAGATACTAAAAATCCACCCATGAATAAAGAACATTTATTAATTAAATACTGACCCATATTATAACAGAGGAGGGGGATTAGAGGAGCAAATCTCCAAGATATTGATTTACAGGCAATAATGCTTTATTTGAATAGTTTTTTTTTAAGATAATTCATTGAATTAACTTTAAATTTATAGAGTTATCCAGTATAATAAAACAACATCCCATGAATTGAAAGCACATGGAGGGTCTTGCATGAGGGTCTTTCTTTCTCTGGGTTGAATGAGCACAGAATAAAATACACACACAGAATAGGCCATGGCTGAGGACCAAACCTGCAGACTTCCCACTGAGCTGCTGAGTCACCTTAGACCACTATACATTGCCTTGTTGCTCTCCCAGACACTCATTGAGTTAGTATCCTCACACACACACACACACACACACACACACACACACACACACACACACATGCTCACCCTCCCTCTCCTCCGCTGTCAGGTCACTGATTCTGAGGACATGTCGTCGTGGTAACAGCAGCATCTGGTAGGGCCACGTTGCCCAATATGGAACCACTGCCAGCCAATCAGAATTCTCCACCACCACACGTTCCTAAGATGAGAAACAAAACTAATATCTTCTTGAGTGTGCAGAGAAGCAACATTATATATAATGTGTTTTATAGATTTTAAGTTTCTTCCAAAAAACTCAAAAGCACCAACAGAGAGGTGAAGCGAAACCTGAACGAGGAACGCATCGACAGTATCTTGTGTGCTTCACTCAGTTTGTCTCAACAGGGGTTACACATTTGTAAGAAATAATGTAATAGTGTTTTAACAAGACCACAGACAATGCAGTTTGTTACCATGTTGAAAGACCGATGACAGTTAAGTGATGAGCTTTGAGAATGGACAGGGAAGCGCGAATAAGAGACTTTTTTTAGGCCATGTAAATCTAATCAGTATAGAATTGCAATGTTGTTCTGTTAGTCTGTCAGTCACGGTTCCTTCTCACTTTTCTTCCAGCTCTGGTGGCGATGCTCACCGACTGCTGAGAAAAATATGACTGTTAGCTAATAAATGCACCACCATATTCACAAAGGAGCTGCTAACTTTGTCTGGGAGCCGCTTGGTGGTGGGTCAGCAGCACAGAGTGGATTTATCACAGCTTTAGTCCTGAAAAGAGCTGCTGGAAACAGAAATCTTCAGAGAGATGGGGCTAACCTATGAAGAAAATGTGCCAGAAAAACAAAACAATGAGCTAAACTTTGAAAGTCCTCTGTGGGTTTGTTTATTACTAGCAGCTACATCTGATTCACCGCTGAAGGACTTATATAAGAGAAATCCTTTGGCAATTTTCCACACCTTTTGTGTGTCCCAGTGTTTATTCTATACTTTATTTAGTTTTATCAGTTGTTCTTGTATTATGAAAATTCACATACCATGCTGACCTGCACATATTTTTTATATTAAAGTGTGGGCAACCTCTTTTCACAATATTTTTATTTTAAAACTATCTACAGTATAGGAATGTGTGGTTGGGCTGAAATTTTGTTTGGACGAGTTGTAGTTTTTCTTTCATTTCTTGTTTTCCTTCTGAAAATTTTGATTACATTTTTTCTCTTACATTTACTGTATATGGTATGTCAGACGACTGTATTAATACTTGTGCTGTTCTGTGTGAGCAGCATGAAAACTACATTTATAAAACTGATCATCAGTAATCAGACAGAGAAGAGAGAATTAGGGCATCCTGATCTATAAATCTCTCAGAGCTTTGAACAAACTTGTACAGCAAGGCACTACTGCCGGGAATCCAGCAGATGAAAACATAAACTACTCTGCTAGAATCCCAAAGTGCCCAGTTCTCTTAATGAACTGTGTTTGCAGTAGGATTCTATTTAGTGCCTAGTGCAATAACACTGACTAATGCTTCCCTTTTTAATATTTTGAAAGTGAGGAAATCAAAAAAGAATGAAAAGCAAGACATTGTATTAATATTACTGTATTTGTCTGCAAAGTTAGTGATGCCAACATTTTATTTTAACTTAAAAACACTGGTTTTACACACTATAACTCCTACTAATTCTTTTTTTGTACTGAAGATTCCAGGTGTATCCTACTGAAGACAGAAATATTAGAGAGCACCAGGAAGGAGAGGAAAGTTTGAGGAGGAGATGTGGGGTAAAGAGAGAGAGACAGGAAGCAGACACCTCACAGACAACTCCCAAAGAGTTTTTACTCAATTAGCTTAGAAAGTTTTCGTTCCAAAGTCAAGAGTGTCACCTGGGAGCTGAACCCCAATTCAAAGTCATCCAAACATTGCAGTGTAGCAATTTACGGTCCTAACCTAAGGTCAGAGAGACAAGAGCAAAAAGAAAGACACACACTAGCAGACAGGAACAAGCACGTTTAAGGCATTCTTGCAAACACACACACTCTCACTTGTGCTTCCACTCTGATTTTATAAAGGTCATTCCCAATGAGCAGCTGTCTAGGAGATTCAAGTGTCCACTGTTCTCGAAACCTCAGTGCTATCATCCCCCCCCCAGTGGAACAAGAACCAGCTCATTCCATGAATGAATCAGTGGCTGCCTGATTTTTCCTTCCTCTCACTCTCTATCCTTACTTGTTGTGTCCAGTCTTTAGCATTCTTCTTTTGTTCTCCCTCCTTCTCCTTTCATCTGCCTGTCTTACTTTGTACTTAAACCTCCTTTTGGTAAATTTTATACTTTTTCATCAAGCCCATTCTCCATCTCCAACTACTCTTGAAAAGGAGTGAGATACGTTTTATTTAGTCTCTCAAAGGAATTGGCTATAATTCAAGAGGAGGGAAAAAGTAGAAAAGCCCATCTCCTAAGACAGACTACACTTCAGCTTTGTGTGTGGCTAATCCACAAAACAATGGCTCTCACTTGTCGCAGTGAAGTGGAAAAATTGTAGAAATTAGACCCAGTGAAATGACCAACAGTGAAGACGTTACTACGAAAACCCTAAGAACAACTAACAAGTGGAAGCCTAAACAGTAAGGTGATAAAATGCTGCCAGTTAATCTCATTAAAAAAATATAAACTTGCAGCACATTTCACTGGCTTCACTGGATAAACACACACAAAGCCAATTTCAAGACAGCTTTGAATAATCTGAGATTAAGTATATTAAATAATAAAGTAGCATAAAGTAAGCTCTCTATAGCTTCAGAAATCGAGGCAAAAAAAGTCAGCTGTCGAGTTTAATTCTCATGCCAACATGCAAAATGTGCGCAGATCCTGTCTTCGATAGTTACTGATGCTCCACACACATGAAGGGAGAGTCACTCAAACACACATGCATACACACACTTGGTCTCCCTCATTACACAGGTTGAAGAGGAATGCTGCGGCATTATGCTAATGAGCATCTCTGCTGTCCAATCACACGCTTCACTGACTGAGAGACAGGCGGACGGTGCTGATGGGAAAAAAAAGAGAATGATGAAGCAAGACGGAAAGAGAAAGAACCATGGCAGGAAAGGGTAGAAGTAGATGGATGAAGGGAGAACAAATGAGGGCAGTCATGAGAAAGATATGATGTCACTGTTTTCCAGAACCTAGTTAGCCAAAATGACACCATGGATTATACTCCCCTGTGATCATCATATCCATATTCTGGTGTGGTAAACCATGAGGAGATTTCAAAAAAGCACTTAAAACATGCCCTTTAAGTCAAGGCTTAACTGATCAAATCTGACCTCTATAGCCTGGCTGACCAGATGTGTTGTAGACGTACATCTACATGATGCATATACTGTATGTTAGAGTAGAGGATTTCTGGACTATTTCTCTATGAATGTTCACCACCACCTTTATTTGTATTATCCTAATGCAACCAGATAACCATAATTCTTGGCTCTATAAGGTTGAATTCCATTAAAATTTTCAACACAATATCCAGGCCTGAACTGGATTTTTGTCCTTTTCTGTAATTGTCTCTGAATTAGTCTAGTATCATGTATAGTGCTTTACTCCATCAGTTTAAAATATTTAGATATACAGTATATTGGTTTATATTTTAATATAGTTCATCTTTTTGTTTTTGTTAGTATTTGCTTTTTGAAAATGTGTTACTTTAAGCCAAGATTGGATGGTGATATACTTTTCCATGTGGTGTTTGTTCATATAAATTCTATGATTTTTTTTATATTTCTACAATTTAGGATTCTCTTTCTACTATTTATAATTTGTAATTAATCATGGTGCCTGTTTGACTAATCATGTGATATTTCAGCTATTTACACTGATCATGTGACTAGGCCACATATTTACAGGGCACATCCCAAAGGCAGCCATTTCCATTTGCCCTGATGAAGGCCTTGATGGTGGAAATGCATAGGCCTGTTTTTTTAACCATGTCTGTATAGCCATAAAATATTAAAGGCTCTTTAGATTTTAAAATCCTCTTGAGTGCCTCAGGCTGTTTCAAAACATTGTCAGTTTTCTCTTAGTTAAATCCCACAACAGGGAATAAAACTTCTCTAAGGGAAAGATATTGTGGGAAATGTAGGATGATGCAAACTGACGAACTGGATTGGGTGAAAGCAGAAGTATATTATGAACTACAACTTTCTGAGGGTAAAATGTTAAATGTTCTTTTTAAATATCATTTGTGTGTGTTTTTATGTGCATGTGCTGTACCTTTTTCTCTGCCTCTTGCTTGGCATATTGCAGCAGCAGCGGCTCTCCATGTTTCTCATAATATGCTCTCTGACAGCGGTCTGAGGTAGCTGGCTCATTAGGCAGGAAGTTGCTGGCCCACACCTGTGATGTCACAGGAAGCAGGAGGAAGATGGAGGACAATGACGATGCTGTGAAAACCTGTCATTATTATGAGTTACATGTGATAGTATGTGCATGTGTATTTAAAAGGTCAATAAGTAATCTGTTTAATTTTTCCTGCTGCCCTGATTCCAAATGACAAAATAACTGTAGTATACAGTATATATATGATTTAATGGGGTTATTCATCAATATGATCCAATAAATAAATGTTTCACAGGTGCAGAAATATCTGGTTTCAAAATACTTTTCTTTCTTTCGGGCTTTTTAAATTGATAAATGGGGTCTCCCCTGCTTTAACCACTTTCATTTACTTCAATAAAATCTCAACTAAGCTATATTTGAGATAGGTGCTTCATCACAATGGGTTCCATGAGCAGGCATTAAAGACCCTGAAAACATATTTTCCCAGTCATCTTCAGGTTTTGTTTGTACTTGTCTCACTGGCCTGAAGTGCGTAGGCTGAGTTGGGAAAAGGTGAGATTTTGGAATCAGTGAGAGTGAATTTTAAGAATATAACATTGGTAGCGGTCGGAGGTAGCTGTATAGCTGATAGCTAGTAAGCTAAATACTGTATGCTAAAACTTGCAGAACCACTGCCATTTTTACTGCCTCTTAATGAAGCAAATGTAGAGAGGGAATTCAAGGTACAATGTAAAATATATAGAAGTATATCAGCATCACATATAATTAGTCAAACAAATACACCAGACTATTGTGCACAATATTAGTCACGCTAGCCATACACAAACTGTGAAACATTAGTTGACTCAGTTATATTTAACATACTGTACTGTAAATTTCAGAGCAATGTTTTGTGTGCAAAAAATAACTGAGAAAATTGGCTTCCTGATTATGATTGACAACATTATGGGAAAAAAACTAACAAGTTTAAAACAACTGTTTTGATATCTGAGACTCTCATCAACCACCAACTGACACTGGTAGTACCCTTAATGAGACATCCGTATTAGCAAAAAAAAAAAAAAAGAGATACCGTATGTTCTTTAATTGGTGGAAAACATTCACCTGCATTACTCACCTCCACAAACAGCACTGCAGTTCATTTTCAGTTACGCTTTAAACACTTGTAGGATGCAGAATTAGCTTCATAATGTACTTCCACCGCATTTCAGAAAGCTTTTATGGGTAAGGTGACACTCACGACAGACATTCAGATAATTTATGTTTGCACTTTATGGTATTTTAATGGATATAAAAGCAGACAAAGTCTGAAATGACTCGCATTCAGCTCAGTGCTGTGCGATGAATAAGCATTCAAGATAACTGCTACTATGGTTCTGAACAGGAGCTATTTGCATATGGGTGCCACAAAATTACCATCCACACTAATGGACACACGTATACATAGGAATGCAAAACTCAGCAGTATAGAAGTAAGCAATATACTGTGGAGAGTGAGACCTTCATCAGAATACTGATTAGTTAATGCTGTACTGATGTGTTTAGCACTGACAGTGGTCTTTCTCAGTCTATACTTTGGTTTGCTTTAATTATTTGTGCGTGTTGTTAGACCTTTTGTCTTAATTTTTTTAGAGAAATTTTAGGCATTTTATGGTTTAGTTTTACTGAATGTACTGTAACATATACAGTATGCATCAGCTGGAGTAGTCTATCCAATTATAACATTCATCACATCATGAACAGAATAGTAATCAGATTCAGTCTCTGCTGCTTTAAGCAGCACTGCTTCGGGCTGCAAAGAAAATTATTTTCTGATTAAACACTCCTCTTTTCAACCAGAAATCACACTATCATCATCTCTTGCAAATTCTTTTTTTCCTCAGTGCAACAATGACAATGCAAAGGGGGGCTCTCTTCATCTTTTTTGTTTCATCTTGTGAGGCACTTCATGGGTGTCCTTGCCTCTAAGGTTTGTGTCATATTGCTGCATTGGAATAATACTTAAGAGAATGCAATAATCTTAAAAAAAATTAAGCTGAGCATTATTAATGTTAATAATGGCATGTTAATATTACTGGCTTTTGGACACTGGCTAAAAGCTGTACCATGTTTATGATCACGATCCTGGCAACACAGAAAGACAGACATGGTTTATGTGTGAACTATATTTAATTACTCGACAATCTGCTTGCCCCCATATGTGTATAATAGTTTGTGTGGACGTATCTCTATCCCTGACAACATCTGGGGCTGCAGGTCTCTTTGTACATCTGTGCTTTGGATTACACAGATCTACCTCCTATCCAGCAGCTAAATTAGAGATAAGAGAAACAAAGTATATACTGTACTCCCACAAAATCAGTAGGTCTTCTGAAAATGACATGCATTGTGCTATTTTTATAACACAATCAGTCCTTTTAACTTCCACAAGCTCCTCCTCAATTTAGTCGTGAGAGACCATTTTCAAGCACATTTTGATTTTGAATTGTTTTATATTGGACCACATAAAACACACATTATTTTTTGATCTGGTAACAGGTCTGCAAGTGCAAACAAGAGTTTGATGGCTCCTGAATGCATATATTATAGCAATTTTAAACAATCTAAATAAGAAGGTTTCTCCCTTTTGTGTCATTCTCTACTTTTCTGAAGTACCACATAAAACCTTTCAACATGGAAACATCAGGAATGGAACAAGACCAGTGTTAAAACCACGCGATTCTAAAGTCACATTCTGCCCTCTGCCGTTAATGTCTATATTACACTCCTGGAAAACCTAGCACAGATTCAAGTTTGCCTTTGTTTGGACTGCAAAGAGTCAGATATTTCTTTTAGGTCTTCTAAAGGAATTTCAGGAATCAGATAAACAGGAGGAACTTGTCAATGTTATGTGCTACAGTGCTGTTTAGATGGAATAACACCTTCCTCATCTTAAAGGCAGTAAAAGGTTTCCATTTAAATGCCCATATTTTTGTGTAATGCACTACTCTATTTACACAAGGAACATCTTTTTCTGCTCATATTTAGCCAAGTCTCCCTCACACACACACACACACACACACACACACACACACACACACACACACACACTATGCATACGTATAAATACAAAAGCAAGATGGCAAAACTATTGCTGTATTTGTAGATAGTGGTGAATAAGCAGGACAATATTGTTAAAAGAACAAGATACAGTATGTTTAGTGAGCTTTAGAGGTGCTGGTAGGCAGGGTTTTTTGCTATTGCATAAGGCCAGGCTAGCTGTTTCCCCCTGCTGTCAGTCTATATGCTACGTTAAACTAACCACCTGCTGCCTTCATATTTAGTATATGGACATGAGGGTGGTATCAATCTTCTGAACAATTTTTTGTAAGAAAGCTTCTTTCCAAAAATGTTGCACATACAGTTGGATTTGGCATAATGTCTCTGGTCAGAGCAGCTTCCCTGGCCAGTCAGAAAGCCATGTCACTGTTCAACACCACAGTAAAATGCATGGACTTGAAGCTACTTCTCTATTAATCTTGGGCTAAACACAAGTTTTGTTGTTGTCATTGTTGGTTATGGTCTTGTGTTTTTTTCTCATTTTCTGTTTTAAGCTGCTATATGTGTTTTTATTACATTACTTGGATAGCTAGCATGACATTTTGAATATATTTATGACAATATTGCTGTTTAAAATTCAAAGTATTACTCCATCCATCCAAATAACCATCCTTCTGTTTGCGCTCTCTCGTCATCATGCTGTGCGCTGACAGTTTGACAGGAAATGCCACTTTCTCTCTGAGTTGTTAGTCTCACATGAAATCACCTTATGGGCAAATATGAACAGACAAGAAAAGGTCCAGGCTGAATTACACAGTATGTGACTGTGCTTTAAAAAAAATTAGAATTGGAAGTCACACAATCATCCACTTGCACAAAATGTGACAAAGTTAACAGCTTCTATGTCTTGCTCAATATTTGTAAGCAATTTCTTTTTAACACATGCCATCTTCATTATAATAGTGAACATGAAACACCATCTTCTTAGAGGTGCCAGTTGGCACCTTGAAAGCTGCTACTGTACACTGAGAGAAGTGGTCAGTGTATGTGTGTTGCGAGGGACACTGTCTTACTTCCATGTTGTTAAAACTGTTCAAAATCCAGACAAGACTGGAGTAATGCAGCAAAAAAGGAGTAATGCTTATATGTTTGCATGTTTACATACAGTATGTGTAATTCAAAAGAATAGGTTATGTGTGCATTACCTGACAGTGAGGATGTGGATTTGAACAACCCATCATGGCTCCTTTATTCTCAAAGATCTATAAACAGACAATAGGGGGTCAAATGAGTCCAGATGCACTAAAACAACCACAAAGATAAAAACAAGAAGAAGAGAAGATCACTTTTGCGGTATGTTGAATGTCACCATTGGGCAGTGTGCGTAATGTATCCTATAGCTCATGGTACATGACTGGTTATTTGAGTATGCTGTAAAATAAAATAATTCAGCCATATTATCACTGAAAAAATGCCATTAAAATTAATACTCAAGCATCTTTGGAAAGAAGTCAACTCCAACTCAAGTAAATTGCACTTTGGCTGGAATCCACGAGATTGACTGGAAACTAGGACCCAACCTGTGAGGAACCAGAGAATTACACTGATATGAATCTATTCAGGTTAGCGCTGTCGCCTCACAGCAAGAAGGTTCTGTTCAATTTTGGATTGATTCAGTGACAACAGTGAGGGCAGTTGTTTGTTCATGACTGCTCAAACTGTGATTTTATAGCTCTAGCTTGTTTCTTTTCACAGTTATACTTTACGATAATCTTGGGCACTGTAATATTTCTACACTGCTGCTTTTCAACAGTTGACATAAAAACTGTATTTTGTCTAGATTCAGTGTGCATATTCTTCCAACCATTTACCTTAAAAATGTACATGAAGGTGTACATCAGCTTGTAACCTCTAAATCCATCAATGGCATTTTTATTTTCTGGGATATTTTTAGCATGTGATATAGGAAATACCTAATAAAGTTTGACATCTTATCTCATCCATGTCCTTCACTCTGTACTGCTGCTGTTTGAATTTGCAACTTTGCCCAAGGGCATCATTAAAGTTTCATCAAATCCAATACAAGACACATTAAAATGAAAAACTGGAGAAAGAGCACAAACTGAGTGATCAGTGACACTGGAGCACAGAGTGAAAAGTTTTACATCTTACAGTTTTACAGGTATCCAATCTTGGAATAATAAGTCAATAATGTGTGAATTACATTACTGGCATTACAAATGTGTGTACACTATGAGCAGCTCATACCTGTACCCAGGGGTAGGTAGCGCCTAGTTCTTCGACAAGATCCGCCCACTGGTTAATGACCTTGACAACCTCTTCTTTTTTCATGAGTGGAAGGGTGATGTCAGACCGGGGATGGAAACACATGACCTTACTGGATATGTGAACAGGAAAGAGAAATAAAGGATAGCAGGAGAGCTGTTAGCTAGTAAGAGGTGTAACAGTGCATCACACTGATATCACATTATTTCAGTCAAGACTCTTAATTCAGTGAATCAGACATCCATTCATCCAACTGTTATCGCTTATCCTATAGAGGGTCAAAGTGGGGCTGGAGCCAATCCCAATTGACCCTGGGTACACCCTGGACAGGTCGCCAGTCTATCACAGGGTAGATACACAAAGACAGACAACCACTCACACTCACACCTATGAACAACCTAACCTGCAAGTGTTTGGACTGTAGGAGGAAGTCAGAGTGCCCATACTAGACTAATTCCTGTTAGAAAAAAAGGCTGCACTTGCAGAAATCTATGCACAAATCTCTTGGAAATTTGAAACTTGTAATAGGCAACTGCTCCAGGGCAGGGTTTACTATATACCATCTGGGTCTACATAATGTGATGAATCACAAATGTGTCACCACTGCAAGAAAATGAGATCTGACATTTTACATACACATTATTGAGTGTAAAATGATAAACAAAATGGCAATTTTATCAATTTCTAATGAAATCAACAGCACAATTAGTCCTGCAGTCACTGCACCTGAACATTTTGTGCTGAGTAAGGGAGCATAACCAAGTAAAAGCATGGCTTCTGTGTATAATGTTTTAACAACTTTGTACAGATGATTGAGATGTGTGTAATTAATTAATTCATGCCCCCAGTGTGTGTGTGTGTGTGTGTGTGTGTGTGTGTGTGTGTGTGTTTACATGTATGTTTACTCTCACCCTTATGTATTGTACCACACTGTCAGAGTCAAGAAAACAAAATTTCTATCAACAGACAGACTCTTCTTAGAGCCAGAGCAGCTAGTATGTGATCAATAATTCAACATAACTTTGGTGTTTATGCTTTGAGCAAAACTGTATGGTTGTATTTATGAATTGTTCATGAGTATTATTGATGCTGAATTCCAGTGTATATATCTATATTTAGATCCCCAACAAGCACAGAAACAGTCAAAATAATGCTACTCGAACCCAACTTACAACTTTAACCCTTGTAAGTCAGGGTCATATAAACAAAGTCAAAAGCTAAAGCTCAAAAGGAGGGTTTGCACTCTCATATCAGTAAATTGTTTTAGGTTTACACTGTCACACATCAGCACAGGGAGAAGAAATGCACAGATGTTTTGGCTGCGCCTTCTTCAGTGAGTAATTAAGCTCACTGTAGGCATACTCATCAAAGCTTTGATAAAGATTTTAACTGATGTCTACAAACCTGCACCCAAGTGTAAAAAACTCTCTAATGACACAACTGCTCTGTGAGATTATACTTACAGTAAAGGCACATCCATCTGCACTTTGAGCTAAATTCTAATTCTGTCTCAAAGAATACATTTATAATCAGTGTTTTCTTGGAAACTAGTTTTTTGTTTGTTTGGGGTTTTTTTTCGTAAATGTTCTGGGTGTAGTGAGCACATATTCATTTCAACTGAAGTAAATTGTTTTCTTGGAAGCACTGTCATCTGTTGATCTCTTTTCACAAAAAGACATTCAGTTTTGCATGTTCAGCTGTGAACTGAATAAATGACTTATACGAATGAATGTGTGACTGTGAAGGATTTGTATCTTAAGTCATTAGGAATTTTCTCACCTCAGCCATTCTCTCCTTTGTCTCCCATGACCCAGATCACCAAAACCCCATTTCCCATTTTGCATCCCCTCTAATTGGCCCCCTGAATGCTACAGAAGGGCAACAAGTTCTGGTTCAGTTGGACTGAGCACACTGCAAACACACTACAACAAAAACAGTAGTGTGCATGTTTATGTATCAGTAAAGGCATACAGTATGAATACAACAACCACAACTAATGAAAGAACCTCACATAGACAGAAAACATTAAGAAGAGGAAATGTAACAATCAGTACAAAGACTGGCTTCATTACTCTGTGAGTGTGTGTGGCAAGCAACAACTGACAGCCTTTAATCTATTATTCAGTTGTTGTGTTACTGTCGGGCAGAATCATCCAAGTATTCCTGAACAGCAGGACTGTTCAGGAACATGAACTGCAGGATCTTTGAAGATAAAAAAAAATCTCCAGCCTGACAACCATATATCTTTAATATAATAGAAAATGTGAATGAATTTTCTATATGTGTGCAGTCTGTCAAATTCACTTTCTGATCCTTGGCGCAAGAACCGTGTGAGGTCAGGGTTCAAGAGAAAGAAATCTTTACTTGCAAAGGCTTTGTTCATTGTAGAAGTAATAATTGTACACTACTTTGTATTGGATGGGATTATGTGTTGTGTTAGGCTTCTCAGACCATCTATTGATTCTGACAGATTTGGCACCTGAAGATCAGAAAGCTGGTACAAAACTTTTCACATTTGTGACTAGACAAGCAACATTCTCCCAGTAATAAGCACAGAAAATCCCCTGATTCTGTGTTTACCAATACCCAGTTAAAGATCTCTGTAGTGAAATCCATGTCATCGTAACATCACTGAAGCATCTATAGTTCCTATAAAATGGAGAGGTGAGGCAACATCCCCACCTTCTGGTGGCTCAGAGAAAACACACGCAGTGTGTAATTTTGCTTTTGATAGTTCAAGATGTCCTGAAAACAGGTGGCATGCAGTGCACTGATTAACAAAATTAGATTCACCTAATAATTGATTATGATGATTATGATGATCACAATGACAAGGCTGCCTCAGCACGACTGCTCTGATTACACTCGTCAGTTCAGATTTAATTAGTCAAACATTTGAATGTATCATCATTTTTAAAATAAATGTTCATTAATATGCATCACTCTCTAAATTCTAACTTTCCAAATACATATTCCTTTACACTGTGTCTAATATATATATCTCATTACACCAGCTGTATTTTTTTTAGATAAGGAAGCAGGCTTAATATCATACTGGTGTGTTTTTCTTTGATTTATTTCACCACATAAAGATTAAAGTTGACTTTCATCTTTGGTCCCTCAGCATGTTAAAATGCATACTGTGTGTCAATCCAAATAATGATTATGGCATTTACACAAAATACATACACACAGTGCTAAAACCTCAAACAATAAGATGGCAGATATTGATTATTTTTGGATGGCATGAACCCTTGTTCTTACCAGACACCCCTGGCAGCTTTACACTGGAACAATGGATGTTGATCCAAACCTGAAAGACACAGCAGCAAATGCGATTTGAACAGTTTACTTGCTTATTATATTAAGCACAAGTACATGAATCCACCAGCACCCATTAGAGTAGATCTTTGATTTAATCTTAGATTGTTGATATCAAACAATCAACCCAAACATTTAACTAAACAGCTACAAAACATTGTATTAAAGTAAAATATGCACACAAATATACATTTTAGCAAGCAGTTGAATGTTCAGATATTTTCTTTAATATAGTACAATGTCTCTCACCAGGATCTGGAGCATCTGGCTGAAGAGCGGGAAAGTCATTCTCAAAGACAAATGTGCTTTCATAGTCTAGATTTACCTTGAGAGAAACAGACATAAAAAGAAGGCATAAAAAAAGCAAATATAATTTATAACTCAGCGAGATGTTTAAACATGCTGTACATGAATAAACCCTCAGTATTAAGCGTGACCACAGAATCAAATTTTGTTGTCCAACCCTTTAAATTCTTACCTCTCCGTTTGCACGTGTATTCCCGGGACAGAGCGGGTTGCGGGGGTCATATCTAGGTATGTGTTCCTCAGGAGGTTTTTCTACCTGACCCGCCCAAGGTCTCTTCATGCGATGGGCTGACACCAGGACCCAGCTGTCCCGCAAGGGGTTGTAACGCAGATGTTGGTGCTCTGATATGTATAAAAGACACAAAATAAAACTTGATAATGTTAAAACACACATATCAGGCATGTGCATAGAAATCTACCTGATCAACTAGTCACTGGAAGTCCTTTTATCCTCCTCATCTGTAGTAAAATCTAGAGAAAATTGCTAATGTGTCTTGCCAAATGTTGCAAAACCTGTCTGCAACTAGTATTTTCAGCATCATTTAACTGATCATTTTTAAACAAATAAATAATTTACTCTACAAAAAGGTCAAATAATTTGGTGCTATTCTATAGTAACAAAACATGAGTAACACAAAAAAACTGAAATAAAAACATTGATACATAACAGGAGGCATATATGTGTATTATAAGAATGACTAATTGCTGTTGCAGCAGTTTACTGTAAACAACAGGAAACTGGAGTCACGAGACTACACATCTGGCTCTGTCAATGCAAAGAGGAAGGTCTCAGCAAAGCCTAACGTTGTAAAAATACGCTATTTTTAATGAAAACTCAACGTCTCCTAACTCCATTTCAAAATATATCAAAAAACTTTAAGTCTAATCATGGAATAATTCAGCTCCTAGTTAGAATATAGTAAAATACATTTTATGAATTGCTATGACCTACTAATAAATTCGGCTAGTAAAAAAAAATCCACAAACATCACTTTGGTTCGATACATTTTCTGTTTTATTTATCTGAAAGTGTGATGTGTCTTAATACTGTTAATGTAACAGTGATTCTTTAGGCTGACAGTATCGATAGAAGCACTCTGCAGTGCAATGGATCCAAGTGAAGCTCGGCTGTGTATGCCATTTAAAAAGCTGTGTGGATTTTGGCGTTTAGCAATGTATGGTAAAACCGGTCGATTTTAAATGTTATTTGGAATAACAATAACATTTACAGATGCTAGATAAGCAGTTACCGACATCCTGGAAGAATACAATTAGGCTGTTACCCCTAAAGGTTTGGTAAATTGAGAACACACCTTTGGGATCAAAACTGACGTCTGGGCTCCCACTCATGTCGACGAGTGCTGTTTGAGAACTGTCACCTCTCCGGTATTCAATCGCAAAACCTCAAACTCTTTCCAATCTTCAAGCAGCAGCTACTCAAAGCCGCTGCAACTTGTCCCCACACCGCTTGACCTACTCTTCCTGTTGTTTAACAGCAGAAAAGGTGCTCTTTTGGGACAAATCAACACTTGATGTCAAACGCCCCAAAATAAAAAATATAAGGGAAGAAACGAAAAAGCGAACCATAAAATGAAACTTAAATGTTAATATTAAGCACAGCGTCTTAAAATATATATTTATGTACAATTATCTCATATAACTATGCAAAATAAACCACAAATACCTATGGGGGATTTTACCATGTGCTGGCAACCCTGGAGTTGTTATCGCCTTACACCGCAAACTCGACTTCTGATTGGCTAAACAGAAACACCCCGCCACCACCTGACCAGGAAGAAGCTGTCAACTAGACATGACACACCTCCCCTGCTAATCGCGTGCTTGGAGTGACCTGTGTACTTTTGTGTCCCTATGTAGTACAACGTGCTCAAGAGTCTCCGTCTGTGCACGTTTTGCTTTAACCATGTCTGCAGTCAGAGCGATTCTAAGACTGTTCGTGTTCGCCGCGTTCTCCGTCCTGGCTGTGCTTCTGCTGAGGCACTGGATGGCCAACAAGCAGTACGTCTTCAACAAAGACGACGTCGCCAAATTGGCCAAACAGTACGCTGGTGAGTTTGGTTACGCGGAGTTTTAACTACTGAACCAGGCGAAAAACAAACCGAAGTCTACTGAAATTCAATTTAAAGTATAAACACACCAGTGGAGGAAACAAGTGATAATGTCCTTGTCTTCTATATGCACTGTAAATGTCTGTGTTCTCAGGACAGGACCACGAGCAGGCCTTCTCAAAAGTGGTGGTGGAGCTAAGGAAGAGGTAAACATTGCATTATTTTTACACCACAGATATTCATTAAAATATAGAATAATACCCATATTTAAGTAGTCAAATCTGAAACTATTCCAGTTTCAATCACCCTATCATTTTCAATTGAGCAACCGCAATTATTAAACATCTATTTTATTTAATGCGATGAATAATTTATCAAAATAGTAATTAACCCATGTTCTTATCCTTTCTGCACAAAATTACTTTATGTTCAGTCCCACCATTAAACTGTGCATATTTCATCAGCTCAGTCTTAAAATGGCCAGAAAGTGGAGAAAGTTGTCAATCGTAATTCCTTAAATGCTTTTTCCTGCAAACACTCAATAGAGTCAAAGATATTTAGTTCAGACATCCTGTTCAGCACCAACACATTTGCATCAAATCCTCACAATTGGGAAGTTTGGCCAAGTGACTATTTACCATATTAGTTTGTCAAAACCTTGTCAAACAGCTAATCCTCGGGGCACTATTGCAGCCTTATTTAATTTGAAAGTCTTACAAACTGAAACAGACATCCTTGCCGAAACCCTCAGATAGACTCTTACTTAGGCTGTTTTTGAGTGACCTTCCTAGTGTGTATGTTTAATATTGTGACTGAACTAGGTATCCTGGCCACATCCTGCCAGATGAGGACCTGCAGTGGGTGTTTGTAAATGCTGGAGGCTGGATGGGCTCCATGTGTCTGCTCCATGCTTCACTTACAGAATACTTGCTGCTTTTTGGTACAGCAGTGGATACAGGAGGACACTCAGGTGAGGAAGGAGCAGGTAGTCGAGAATAATTGGTAAAACGGATTGTCAGAAAACTTAAACTTTGTGGAGTCCATCATCACCAGGCTATGAAGGAAAATATGTCTGCACACATGCCTTTTTGTCATATTTGCCTCCCATTTTTAAAACCAAACATACTAAATAAACATAGCCTTTTTTTCTTGGCATGTGTGATGTATCTTCTCTTGTTCTTTCTGTGTATGTAGAAACCTATATAGTTGTAACTCCATGTCCATTTTCTGCTTCTGTCAGGTCGTTACTGGGCTGAAATTTCTGACACCATCATCTCGGGCACCTTCAGACAGTGGAAGGAGGGAACAACCAAGAGTGAAATATACTATCCTGGTAATACCTTGACACATTTTATTCTGAATATTCTGAATAAATATTTTATTCTGATAAACATGTACAGTAGTGCTTTTTGTTTGTTTCCCACAGGTGATACCATCGTACACGGTGTAGGTGAGGCGACATCGGTCCAGTGGAGCGCTGGGACATGGATGGTGGAGTATGGCAGAGGTTTCATCCCCTCCACGTTGGGGTTCGCTCTGGCAGACACCCTGTTCAGCACCCAGGACTTCCTTACAATGTTCTACACTGTGCACGTCTACGTTAAGGGTATGCTGCTTGAGGCTGGTACACTACTTACAGATGCTGGAATTTTTTGAGGTATGCTCAAAGCTTGGACACTCAAACATGGACATTAACATCAAAAGATCACCTTGTCATGTCATTTTACCCCTGGCACGCTAAAATCAGTGGTGCAGAGAAATCCGTGCCAGATGATCTCAAGTTTACATATTCAGTGTTTTTTGCTGAAACTGTAGACGATCCAAATTGGGATCGATACAGTTGATTCCATTTTCATTCAAAGTCTGGCCCCTCATAAAAGCTATAGAAAAGAAATGTTTGAACCCTCCTTGTTCTAGTCAACGTGTAGCCCCTTGAGATAACACTACTGTGTTCCATACGAACAAACCATTCTGAATCATGCCCTAGCCTGTCGTCCACACTTCTCAGCATCTCGCTCGGTACAACAGAAGCATTCCTCTGAGCTCTTAAACTGCCTGCATAGTCAGTGAGGTCATTACCCATAAAAATAAACATCATCCACAGTATTATTAAGAATTAAAGAATTTAAGCCCAAAGACCTTCTGACTACTCTTCCCAAATTTGTGTTTATTCTGAGAATAACAAGGCATCACTCCAGGTCTTGGAGTATTAACTTTTTTAGCAACCAGTAATATTTACAAATAGATATATAACTTGATATTTAAACTCCTTCATTGTTGCACATTTCAGGACCAAGGAATCACTTTTAAAATGAATATGCATTGTTTAATTTGGCTTGTAAACAAAATATAATGCAAAAGCACCGTTGTCTTTATTTTTTTTTAGTAATATCCATCTCACATTTATATGCATGTGAATTCTCAGGTCTTGTGTGACTCTAGCTTTATGAATATTTAACTTTTTAAACCATTCACAGAATTGTTGGCAAAGATCAAGCCTCTTGATATGGCACACCCTTTCTTCATTTACAGTCTGTTTGTAATGCCTGGGTCAAACTATGTGATTTTGACTGTTATGATGGTCACTATGTCAAATTGCAAGATTATAGTCATAAATTCTTGAGAGAGGGCTATGGCAGACTATACATTGGTACCCAACATATCACAGCCTGATGTCGTTCATGACTTGGAGGTGCCAGGGGCTGGGAGAAGAGTGTGTGATACCGGCTGCTTGTGTTCAGAAAATCATTAAAATGGTGGGGACCTGTCTGTGGGTTGCACAAACAGCAAATCAGCCTGTGTTGTCTCTCCTTCACAGATGACTTGAAAAAGCAGTTAAAAATAGGGGAGCTACTTCACAAGGCTGACTATGAAAGTCACTATACTAACATTAGCTGTAACACTGTAATATTTAATGAATATGGTTCAGTCCAATATGGCAAAATGATGTTAACAGAAGAGCCATCGGTGTTCCTATTGGTCTGCATCAGCCCACCTCATCATAAATATTAAAACCAATTCTGACATACTAGACTTTGTCGGGACATCGTGAGGTGTCCCAGATGCAGTATCGGTCGTTGTTTACTATGACACACTATACAAAATAAAATAATCAGTAGTCATGTCCAGCGCCCTACGTCCATCATGTTGGGCTGTTTTTGGGCTTAAATCGTGTAGTATGAACCGGGCATAAGGTGTATTTTTGAAAATGTTGAAAACCTGGGAGAATATGGTTCAGAAAACTGCTTGGATGATGCGAGTGTAATGTCCTGTTTTGCCCCAGTGTGGACCATGCTGAGATGCATACCAGCTCAGAGACAGCAGGGTTTTAGTGATTATTGTTACTGTCCTGGTTTGTCCTGGATGAATTCAGATCACCTGCGCAGCAACAGATTTATTTTAGTTTTCTTGTTTTGCAACACATTTCTAACAATCCCAGCATTTTAAGGCTTATTGTATAAGGGTTCAGTCCTTAATTCATCCCAAAATATTGGTAGACATTGTCAGTTAAATCAACTTGACTTTACTTTTATATTATGAAGCATAAAATTTGTACTACATACCATAAAAACTGTATATTGTAGTTGGATGCCAAATGCTGTTTGGGGAAAATGTGGGAGCTCTTATGAAGATGTTTGCACAATTTATGTTTGAAAATGGAAACACACTGCTCTTTTGTACTGTAGACCTCTGCTGTGGTGAACTCTACACCTGTCATTTCATTTGATGGGATGGACTGAAGTTGTAAAAAGTGACTTTCAAAAACTGGTTCTGTGAAGTTAGGGTTACAAACATTTTTGAAAATGTTTGTAACCCTAACTTGTAACCCTGTAATGAAAAAAAAAAACCACACCTGCCACAGAAACTCTGTTTTTTGGAAGTCTTATTTTTCTGTTTCACTTGGAATTGAACTGCACAAGAAAA